CTATGCAAGGTAGGTGTCGGGAAAATTTAACTGAGTCACTCGGTTGGGCTAACGGTGACTAGCCGGGAGAAATAACGGTCGGAGTGAAGGACGTCCCACCGCCCAACTTGTCGAGGTTCTTAGTGCTCAGGAGTCAGAACCGAGTCTAGCTTACGGTGCCGACTGCAGGGCCCAGCGACAATTCCGCCCCAAAATGGCATTTCGGTGGTGTTCGTGCGACGTGCACACAGAATGGCCGCGCACGGGTGACGACAAGTAATCATGGTAATCATTACAAGTGGTCATCATTTTGTATAGAATGAAATGGCACCGCATAATCATCCCACGTGGCATGGAAATGTCAGTTCCAAGATCTTTCGCTGGATCTTTTCGGGTTCAGTAGGTTTGCCTTTATGGCGGAAGATACCATACTGTGAAGTATACGGGGACGCGCTTATGCTGGCCGCAAATCGATGTTGATATTGGCACAAAAGAATTCAGGAAATGCGTGCATTGACTGGGGTCCCTACCATGCGCGAAGCGACAACGATGTACCGGTAACTATCAGATCACTCCTCGACCACAGCGCTACGCGCAGACCTTGTTACACGCTGCACCCGGGTGCCAGTACCTTCTTTTGCAAGTGCATCCACTAAACGACATATTGGCCCGTAAACTTGGTGGGCCCGGATCCTATACGTATACAGCGTAGTGCATCATGCTGATCCCGAATGACTGCAGGCTGGCCAGCGAAACGCCGATCAGTCCGGACATTCGCGGGGCGCATTCACCAAGATGCATGGTGCACGATGCACCGCATTGAAGATGAAGAGGGCTAGTCCTACCTGACAAGAAATAGCTCCTGAGTCCCTGCTGGAGACCAAGTACTGGAACGTACCTACCCCTCACTTTCAGCTTCCAGTTTGCAAGGTGACACGCCGCACTGGTTAGCGTGCCGATCACAATCATCTCAACCCCTGCTGGGTCCCTTGCAATGATCAACGTATGCCACCTTGGCACTTCGGCATTCCCTCCGAACGCATTCTTAGGAGAGAGGCACCTTCTGCTTGCCCATGTACCAGCTAGACAAGATTTCAGAACGCACATCCTCCCATTCTTCCACCAATGCAAGGCTCCTTCGTCCTCAACTCTGATGCATTCGCTGCATTCAGTTGCATCGGAGGCTTGATGGTCTTTTCAGCGGAGACGTACACGCTCTGGGCGGTCTCGCAAGTGGCATGCAGCTGGGGGGAGCGCCACCTGTCCGCTGATCAGCCATGAATACCTGGTCAGGGCTCAAGACCCGCAAGGGCGGAGACACCCCAAGTGAGACAGCTGTCCGCCCACCAGACCCAGCAGCAAACACCACCAGTTTGGATCCAGCAGACTCCGCCGGCCCGTACCCCCACACAGGAGCTGGCGCCCCCTTCCCGTCCGTAACCCACGAGCTAACCCATGAGGGTCACGCACATCAAAAGAGCCCGCATCACTCGCCAGAGGCCTCCAAGTCCATGGAGGTGATTGACCGCTTTGGGCGGCTGATCCAAGACTGGGCAAAGCCAAGCCAAGCTACCCCCCCATTCCATGGAAACCCGCCAAACCCCTCGTCCCCATCTGTCGCACGCATAATCGGCCAGCCGTCTGCTTTGCTCCGCCCCCCCTCGACGGGTGGATCCGCCTTCTCTCCTGTAACCACGTCGATCCAGGTTGAGTTGTGGCAGCCACAGCAGCGCGAAAGGGGGGAGGAGGGAAAGTGGCCGGTGCGCCTCTTCCCAAGAATCCCAACGCCCAATGCAGGTGCACCGAATGCAGCACAAGAGGGTGTGTCCTCCCCTCCTCCTAGCACAACCACTCTCACCGGTGCCCCTGCAGAGCCTTCGCCAACGACATTGCCCCCCGCCTTCGGGGGCGCCATATCAGCTCCGCAGCACTTTGATTACCGGCTGCCTTTCTCAGGGGCTGCTCCCGAGCGGAGGCTCCAAATCCCCCCTGGACTTGAGATCGCGCGCGTGATTGACGCCAGGAGCGGCTCGCAGGCCCCGGCTTTGGAGCCCAGTTACTACGACTTTCTGCAGCTGGAAGGACGCCAGACAGCAGCCGCACAAGAGGACACTGAATCTGACGCTCCCAGTGCGGGTCACATTGGGCTGGAACTGCACCATCTCCCTTCCTCCGGCGACCCAGTCACCTCCCTCCCTTTGTTCCACCACAAGCAAGCTGGTCTGTACAGGGGGGGGTTCAAGGTGCCCACGCTGATCCCCCCCTTAGCGGACCCAGAGTTCCGGGACCTCAGTCCAAACCAGCCAGACACTCCCACCAATCTGGGCGTCCCAACAGCGAAGGACCCGGACGCATGGGAGGAGAGGCCCGTGCAAGAAAACAAAGCTGCTGGGGGCATTCAGGGGGAGACAGCTGGCAAGGGTGTGCGAGGGGTTTATGATAAGAAGACGGGGCTTTTCCAACACATGAAAGGCGGGTTCAGGGCGTTTTCGGGCGGCCTGGGATATTTGGACGCTGAGGGGCCGCCACGTGGCGGGCCAGGACTGGTGGCCCACAGAACCTGGTGAGTTGGTGGCAGCATCAGATCAAGAGTTAGGTCTTTTGTTGCAACACTCTTTTCGGACATGTCTGCGGGGAATGTCAAACCAAACATTTCCTGGCAGCTTTCGCATACATTCTTTGCGGTGTAATAGATACGTGCCTGCTCAGACCAGAAGCTGCATTCAGCACTTGCGGCTAGTTTGTGCATGGGCAGCTGCATCCGTGCACATGAACCCGGCAATTGATTGCAACCAAAGCCAATAGTTGTCAACCTAGTTGTTTTGGTGCCCAGCTAGGATAGCCCACCTCTCAAACGTTTCCAACATAAGTCTCTCTGCCTTCAAAGTCCTTGCATGTCCTTTGGCAGAGCAGACTCTTCAACCTCATGTTGCATGGCACCTGACTCTTTCTGAGCTATACACTCTTGGCAGAGCTAGCAGCACTGTGTCTGGACACCGCAGTAAACAACATCATTTACCCTCAGGATAAGAGGCACATTGGCGAAATTCTCCCAACTGACCTCACAGTCCAACCTACGCTGGACCTCAGTCAATCCCTTCTCCCGATCACAATATCAAGCCTGTCTCTTCTTCAGTCACGCTTCTTTCAGTCTGCATGTCAGCCAACCACCTGACAGATTGACAGCTGGTGCTTTGAGGTCTACTCTGTGACAGGTGTCAAGCCTCTACTGGCATCCTGCCACATAAAAGTGGGAGGCCCAAAACTGGAGCAGCTGACGAAACAGCTTCTGCTTCTCTTTTCAGGAGTGCCGTGCCAGTTACCTCGCCCCCCGGGTCTCCCCCCCGTGCACTCAGCGACTCGGGGCTTAAGAGAGCCTGGGAAGCGTCACATGCTGCTGAGCGCCTGGGGAAACGCCCGAGGTTGACCTTGGAACAACTGGAGCCCAGGTGAGAAGCAAGTCAGGAGGAAACTAACCAGCTCGTTTGATTCCGACCCTCTCCCTGTACTTGGGAATTCATGTTCCTCACTTTCCATGATTGATGCTAGTGCCTTTTGAGCATGCGATTGGGAGCTTTATACTTTCGTTTGTGACCCCGTCTTTAGGCTGATTTGCATGTCAATTTGGAGCTCCAAAACGGGTAAGTTGTTGTCACATTGCAACAAGGTATCAGGACCGGATTTCGAAGCCCTCTCCTTCAACAAACGCGATTTGTACTTTCCCCGGGTCCCTCACCCATTCCGAGCTAAATGCAGGTTTCGCTCGTCAAGCAACGTTAATAGCGTAATCAATGTTCGAAGGGGCTGGACGAACGACTCAAAAAGACTTTTGACAGGACACATTCCACCCACTGGATTGCCTTCTGCCCAATCGCAAACTACCCTGAACGGACGGTGTCTTACAAACTGGGCTTCTTCCCGAGGTTTCGGCAAGCCGTGAGAGTCTCTTTTCTGTATCCGTTGCTTAATCTCGTTCATTTCCATTTGAGCCGTTCCAAATGTCCATCTATGACGGTCTCTTATTCCCCCTCTGGCTTCCATTTGTCTTACAGACAGACCGATGTAGACCGCAACGAGCCTGAGGGAAATGAAGCGGTTGTCCGAAACCGCGATCCTCAGGACAATGACCCGTTCAAGGAAGCGTCCAAACCCCTGTCCGGGTCCGGATTAGCCGTCGAATCGGCGGACGGAATGGGCCGCCAGCTGGCGAATGCGCAGCGCCAGCTGTCCGATGCCCGCAGCCAACTGTCGGACGCCCAGCGGCAGGCTTCGGACGCTCGGCAACAGCTGGTGGACGCACAGGCGTCGTGGGAAACGGACCGCCGGCAGTGGCGACAAAAGGAGGCGGCCTGGGAGGCGTTCCGGACGGCGCGAATGCAGCCGGGGGGATCCCCCGTGGCCGGCGGGGGATCCCCCGCAGTTGCTCGGGCCGGACGGTATAGCGAGGACGAGATCGGACGGCTCATCTCGGAGCGGCTCATCCGGACGGAGAGCATGCTGATTGCGGCGCTGGCGGAGATCGGACGGCTGAGAGCGTGGATTGCGGGGATGCGGGCTGCGCCGCGGGCGGGCGCTCCGGGGGCTCCGCCGGAGGGGAGTGCCTCGGGAGGTGCGCTTCCACGTGCCCCTCTGGTTTTGCGTCGTGGGCTATGCCTGCCATGCACGCGGACTTGAAAGTCTCATTTTCAGCTTTCATGTGGGTGAACAAACCGAGAATGACAACAGTCTTCTCGTCGACGATCCCGTTCCTTAATTTTCCCCACAAAAGATTCGAGTTATACATTTCAGTCATTATGTTACAACGGCCAAGTTGCCCCATCGTAAATCTGGGTACGTGTTCGGACGGCCCTTTCACGAAGCCTGGCCCGTCCAATTCAGCTATCCGTGTACAGCGCAAGCTGTACACGTCTTGCTCTGACGATCGAAGACGTCTGACAGGTTTTCCAGAGTCTGGCGTACGAAGTTGAACTGCAAAGGTGCGCCGTCGGAAAAGTTATGAGTACGCCGCAAGGGCAATTGCTTCGACGGTAAAGCAGCTGAGACTCATTGCGTCGACCCGAAGGGACTGTAGTTTACCAGGAGGACTCTGTTTCGCGAGGTTTGCCGCGCAAGAGTCTCCCCTGAACAGCAAGGGTGTTCTTCGCGTTTCTATCAAGTCGATTTGAATGATGGTCCGAGCTCTCTGTCACTGCTTCGTTCTGCAGCTAAGTAAGAGCCAGGAGCAAAATAACAGGAAGGAGTGACGGGAATGTCACGAGTCGGCCTCCCTGCATTTTCTTGAAGCTGGCCTTGGCGGTCGAAAAGAACGGAAAGAGGCACCTCCTTAGGTCAGCATTGCCGTTCGCACTAAAGGGAAATGATGTCAACGGATCACCTTGCTCACGTCATCGCAAGCCGTACAAGACTCTGACTTCATTCCGGTGTGCGTCCACTTGCAGACACTGTGCGGGCTTGATCCTCTGATCGCGGCCCGAGAGGAGCCCACGTGAAACACGTGGCGGAGTTAGTGTCGGCGTCAAAGAGCTCCACATGGCCGTGTTGGGGCAGGTTCGCAGGTCGCATCATGTTAGAAAGTGGTTAGCTGCATCGCATCGCATCCGTTTGGGTCTAGGTAGAGCATAACCCGGGTTTGTGGCACATGGGCATGGTGGAATGGTTGGAGAGCTGGGTGCGGAATCTGTGCATTATGAAAGGTGAGCCTTCGGACTTGCGGTCGTCTTGACTTTTGAGCTATCTTGAGAGCGACGACCGTTGCATCCTCAAATCCTTGATAGCATCTGCACGTGCATTATGTTGCTACTTTCGGTTTGCTTTGTTGGTCGACATGTGCGAGTTCGCTTCAAGCTCTGCGCTTACTTTCGTCAGCAACGCGACGAAACATAGGCAACGTGTTGATTCGCGAATTGCGGCCTCGCAAAAGCGCCACGCCGTTGAAAGCCCTGCGATACTTGCTTGAAAGCGCAACAGAAGCGACCATTACACGATCAGAAAGGTGCCTAAGCGCTTTTCCTCTTCATACATCATACTCTCGCAGGGGGACTAGATATCATTCGCCTTATCTCCTCTGCAGGTATTCACGTCAAAGGTACAAACACCGTGTACGTTCTTTCAGCCGGGAGCCATTCTGCGGTTGGGAAACTTTCGACGGTTTTGACATTGTGGCCCCACTGGGCTTTGCACAATAGGGTCAGGAAGAGATCGCGCGAGCGTGATGCACTGGGCGAAAGTACGTCTGAGTCTTGGGTTAAAAGCACATTGGTCATTAGCAAGTTGAGTTGTATCGAAAACTTGTGTGCGTTGTGGGAAACCAATCCGCATGTGTATGCTGCGGTCAAAGACACTAAGCAGAAGTGGGATTTGCATGCGTCGTTATGACGTGACGCCACGTCACGCTCGCAGAAGCTTATGCGAGATGAGGTCACCAGCTCTGAGGCCTAGCTAGGAGTGGAAAACCAGCTAACATCTCACGTTCTTGCTGCGATTTAATTCGGCAGCTTTCTTTTATTGACTCAAGCCGTTGTACAAGGTTTTACACTAGCCTAGGCTGGACGTTTTGACACTCGACAATCTGGTATATCAGAAATTGACGCTCTACCGACAACAGTCTGTAGATGGTAATCTCGGATTCTGCCGCTGTGGCTAGCATATCTCAAGCTTTCATAATTCTTCGCAATGCAGCACCAGTTGTTGTAAGCTAGGACCAGCTCGCCGGCATGTGTAGGCTGTACTGCCACTTTTAACGTTGGCTTCGTACGATCGAGTCTCTTATGGATGCCTATCTACTGCAAGAAGTTCGTAGATTGTACATTTGACTCTCAGGTTTGCCAGAGCCGGCCCTGCATGCTATACAACATGCGCGTGCTTTGGGCTAGTATGAGGACTTGGTACGGACTTAAGCTGCGCATGTATGATAGTATCGACGTTGCGCTGCAACATATGCACCTGTATAAATTCCGCATGAAACATCAGAAGCAGTCTAGCAGCCTAGACGGTAGCTGACGAATTCACCAACCGGTCCAATCCACAAAGTTGATTTAGGTATCGCGGATGCATGGAAGTGCATAATCGCTGTTGTGAGTTAGGCCGCCACATGCAACGATACTTGAAGCCTATGGCCCCCATGTGGCTACGGCGTTCAAGTTCAAAGAAAACACCAAATCATTGATTAGTAGGCTCCCGTTGCCCCCCAGCACGAGAGCTGCGCTGCATGAAGTACATGATATAAAAATGGATCGATATATGCGTACTTTGATCCCACTTTGATTGACCGGCGTCGGATGCTTCGCTCTCAGAGGCGGGCCCACATAGACCTAGTATAGCTAGAAAGAGCAAAAAGCATGCATGATTGGTTCATTGCGTACGTACATACAACTACAATCGATTGAAGATGTCGTTAATCTAGCTGGGCTAGCTCAAAGATCGAAGTCAGGCTTATTTTCTCAGAGCTCAAATTCACATTTGCAAAGGACGTTACAAGCACTTTGCAGATTACGATCATCTGCGTCAATAAACCGCGATTGAGACTGAGCCTTCATGATCACGAGGCTTTCGATCACGAGCCCGGTGACCGCCACGGCTAGGTAGCTAGCAATGTTTTGATGAGTACGAACATGCGAGCAATGATGAGGCCGGTTATTTTGAAGCAGCTCGTAGTACCATGCGCCCTAATTGCCAAACGAATGATTGTTTGCCTTTGGAGCCTGCGCGCGCAAAGGCATGGCCGCCCAAGGTTGTACGCACCGAGCAATGCATGGAGCCCGCGGCCTTACCCTAGCTGGATGGGAGCTGGATCGAGCACCAGCTTCCAACGTGCATCTATGAACATATCAATGAAGGACTGGACAGGCTCTGACGGACTTGACTCTAAGGGTGGATGGTGATCGCCGTCGAAGGGCCGATTGAGAATCAGGTCTTGGATCACAAGGATCCAATCATTCTGCCGCCGCGCATACACATTGATTGACTAGGGTTGCCGCTAGAAGGACGGAAGTGATGATGATTGATATCAGGTTGTTTACTTGTACAAATCGCATGCGGCAACGGCCCAGCCTCAAAGAAATATACGACGCACCAATCATTTCATCCAACCCTACTTTTTAGCGCATATCTGTACGAGCGCCCTTGCATCTTGCAGCGTCCTCCACAGATCTATGTTATTTGCCATGGCATTGCACTCTCTCAAGGCTTCATCCATGGCCGAGCACTCATCAAGTATCTTTCTCCTCCTTTGCCTCACGGCCGCTGCTATGGCATAGAGGAGAAGCTCCTTGGTAGCCTTCTTCTGACCGGAGCTTTGCTCAACGGTCCCGCCGACCATGCTGGCCGCTTTCGCAACGGATTCAATCTGTTCGGCCGCCAGAGCATCGGCCCAACAAACCTGTTGTAGACAAGCAAATTGGATGGGTATTCTGGACAACACAACCTTGAGAAAAAAAGGCAGGATAAGTTTCGTTGAGCACCGATGGACGCTTTTCTGGCATCTGGAAAGTGCAGAACTCACTGATGCTGTTTACAAGGCGTCAAAACCGATGATAGTAGCTGCCCAACTTACACAATCTGCCACTAGGCCTTCGCGAAACGGAAACGATTCAAGACCATGCGTACTTCAATTCGAGCATTTCCTTTTCGTACCCACCAGCCCCAATCACAACGGAAGCTTGCGGTTTGAATCTCGAAAACAGAAAGATGCCAGAATCGCACAAGAAACGCTAAACTCAACCCCCACAGATCAGCGTCTGCTCGAAGTGGACTCTTTTGGGAGAAGGACGATAATCATGCGGTAACCGAAAACGAAGTCCCTTGCCCAATCATCACAAATTTTAGAGGAAATCTGACAGTGAGAGCTTTTACAATCTCAGCTCTTTCCAAACTCACCTCCCACAGACACAGCGTCTGCTCGAAGCTGAGCTCCCGCCGGAAGAGGACGACGACCATACGATATGCGAAGATGCAGTCCCCCGCGCCAATCTTTGCAAGATGCTGGTAGAGTTCCGGGTCGCCGTGCTCCAGAATGGCGGCGATTCGGTCCAACTGCCCGCGGATGCCCCGCTCGTCGATGCGGAAGTTGTGCTTCGCCGTCTTCATCAACCTGGAAGAACGAAACCACGATTTAGGAGCAGTTAGCACATCTGACCGTGTTCATGACCTTGAAGAACACGCAAGGCACTCTTTGGAGTGGAAAGCGGCCTCAACCGTGTTTCTAGACGTAAAGGTGGAGCTTTTTCTGTGCCTTCGATCAACTCATCGGCTACAAAGCACCTTAGCGAACCCCTCGTGCTGTACCGTCAAAAGATATTCTCCAACCCAGGAGGGACGTCGGTCAACGTAGGTTCATGCCAACTAGAAACCGCTGCCTCCTCCAACAATCGACAAGCGTGGTTAAAACTTGAACTGAGAAACCGTCTCCTTTTCGACGTAAGACTTGAACGCACCACATGTCATCGTGTCTAATCAATGCATTTTCAAAGGAGGAGGTGCAAAACGGGGGACGAGTCGGACGCCAAAAATCGATTCAGAACTGAACCCAGCTTCGAACTGTCCCCTCTTGGAAAAGCAGTACACATTCTCAAATTCAGATTGAAGAGCACCCCTCACCTCTGGAAGCACCAAAACGCCTCTGCGTCACTTTCGATCAGCGCCACAAACGGCGACAGCAGATCGCTCATCCCCTGGCAGTACCCCGTCTCCTTGTCGTAAACCGCATACGCCTCCAGGATCGCAACTAGGCGTGCGGCGTGCGCGCGCCGCGCGGGCTCCAGGTGCTCGTCGTTCTCGAGCCCCACCGCACGCGCCATCTCTTCCGCTCTCCCGGGGTCGCAGGCCGCCTGCGCGGGCGCGTACGGAATCCACGCGGCGTTCATCCGGACGGCGTCCAAGCGGATGATGCGCAGCCACGTCTGGAACTCTTCCAGGGCCTGGGCGTCTTCGGGTGGTTTGGGGTTTCCCGTTTCCGAGGGCTTTGAACTTTCCGAGGGGTTTGAAGTTTTCAGGGGGCTCGTACCAGGTTTTGCCAAATCGTCAGCGCCGCCTGTTTCCGTTGCATCCATCTCCCTTGACGCCGACGCACTGTCCGACCCGTCCCGCGCTTTGGCTGGGGAGGGATCCCCTGACTGGGCATCAGTTTGATGTCGGTCTGAGTTCTGAGTGGTCGACTCGAAGCTACTTTCCATCCCGACACTTCTTTCCTTTTGACCGCTCTCCCGTCCTTCCTTTCCATCGGCCCCCGTCCCATTAGCAACCAACGCACCCTCCTCGGCTTGGTTTCGATTTCTCTTTGCTTCCCTCTGTAAAGCTGCCACCTCCTCCTCTTTCTCCTTCCTTACAGCCTCTTCCTTGATCCGCTGACTCAACGCCTCCACCTGCTTCCTCAGCCGCGCAAACTTCCTCCTCCGCTCTGGTTCCTTCTTCTTCCGCTCGCCCTCCGTGCTGTCTAGCTCATGCACCCCCAGAAGGAACGGCCAAACCTCGGACCGGATCTCGGGAGCCACCCCCCCGCGCCGGACTCGTCCAATAACTTGCGCACCGTTGTTAAGCAACCGGCCGTCGCCGTCGAATGCGTTTTTCCAGTCTTCGGCGGTCAAGGGCTTGGGCCGCCGTTTCGTGCTGCTCCAGGGGGTTTGGCTGCAGAGCAAAGGATGAGAAGCGGGGATTAGAGCGCAGTGCAAGAAAGTAGCAGCCCCAGTCATGCCTCACGTACGTGCTCTACTCATTGCCCCAGAAGGTAAGCTAACTAAACTGTCTATCAGGCTATCCACCAAGGATCGTCATGCGATGTAAGGAATTCACTTGAATCACTGTACAGTGCAGGTCTCAAGCTTGATCAGAAAGTTGAATTGATCAGAATGGGAGCTGCTTCACACAAGTCAATTCCCATTTCATGCAGAATCGAGACCCTGCGTCACGAATATCATATTCAAGGAATTCTCAAAGTTCGCCGGCTGTACGCGTTTGTAGCCTCTACATCAATTTGTCACTGCCATCCTGTGTGACCGATGAATTTAAACCGACAATTAAAGCACCACCAACACAAGATTCACAAGCGTAAAAGCCCTGCAGAAAGTCTCTCTCCAGAATAGTACTTTGAAGTTTCAGCGCTCGCTTGATCTCAGCTACTCAAAGCAGTCAAAAGACCAGGTTCTGGCTAAGAGCAAAGTACAAGAGTTGACAATGAGAAATACCCCGGTCAAGCAATTTGCCAGATCATGACAAAAACAGTGAAAGAAACCTTTTCTTGCAGGAAGCTAGATCTGAGCAAATCTCATGATCATCAAAGCACGTCCAGAAGAAAACCCCAAGCTGCTCGAAATTGTGGCTAACTCACCCCTGTATGATGTAGACGCCTGCCACTCCTGCAACCAAGGCAACCCCCACCCCGATGGCCAACGCCGCTGCATGCTGATTGGAGGGCGCGGCCAGGCCCCGGAAGATTCCCATGGAATGCTGGAAGTTGACGAGCCCCGATACGAGCGGCTCGAGCTGTTGCAACATGAGGCCCAGATGTATCAGAAGAGATTCATTTACTGGAGCTGGACTAAGATTCTCGAGGTTGAAAACCCCTCTTCACCAATGCTGTGGCGCCTGCAAGGAAATTCAAAGCATCGAGGATTTTGCCATTTGGGGGATTTTGTGCCGCGCCCCTTCGATCCTTCTTGAACGGTTTCCCGAAGTTAGGGTTCTCCTCATTGACATTGTGCGTGCGGCTAGGGTTTTGTTCAGGATCCCATCTTTCTGAGCGCGCGCGCGTTCACGACACCTTTCCAGAAATCCACAGGCACCCCCTCAGCTCAGCTCAGGCTCAGCTCAGCTCTGCTCATGGATGCTCACCTCGGCTTAGCTGGAAGCCCAGCTCAGCTCAGCTCAACAGCTCAGCACTAGGTAGGACTAAGATCTAAGTTCTTAGCTCGAACCACACTGGACCATCCACTTCATGCATTCAGAACACTGACCTCAACACTTTGGTCCAAGATTCTCTGGATGGGTGCCCCACATCCCACTGCCACCTGTCGCGCCAAAAAAAGAGGTCTGCTCTGAGCCGCTCAGGCGGAACAAGAACCGATCCATCAGCAAGGTTGCTGCCGTGCTTACAATGGCACCCAATCCTGAGAATCCATGAGTGGTAGATTGGCCTGTAGCACCATTCTTCCGGAGTTTCTCCATTCTCCTCCTCCATTTCTCCGCAATGTTTCAATCCACAAATCAACGTCCTAGCAAAGTCCGCAAATTGAGGCACCCAGTAAAGATTTCCTTGCCCCGATCGAAATGCACATCGTTGACCAAGGAGCTCGCAAATTCAGCATTGGGTGAAACTTGAGCAGCAGTCGGTGGTGGTTTTGGAAATGTGACGGTGGAACCTGTAGATCAGTAGCTGACACCATCAGAATGAGTCTGCATTGAGGCAGGGAAAGGAGACTGCACGAACTGCGCTGCAATCATGGTGAGTGGGTTCTTTCTAGACGCAATGTTTGCAAGTGGTGTCTTTCTAAAACAAGCACCCTGGTCAAGTCTGTAATGGGCAGGTGACTTATACCACCAAAGACCAGAAACAATATCTCAACTAGGAGACTTTGCAGTACAACAATGACCGGAAGGCCTCTCGAGGCTAGCAAATGGTTGGCCGCTGAGCTCTCTTCCGCAAAGAAAACCACATTCCGCCCGCATCTTGAGCATGCCGCAATCTTTCATGATTATAAAATACAGCATTGGTCAATCAAAGAGGGTGGGTTCATCGGCTAGGATTAGCATCAATAGCTGAGTGACTTTCTGCTCTCAATCTTCAGAAGAAACTCTTCACCATCGATGCGTCACAAAATGGAAGGGGCTCCGTTGCCTTCACCTGGAGTCCAAGAGGCACTCATTTGGCGGTGGCTGGAACCCAGGTAAGTTTCAAATACACCTTCTTGCCCCAAACCTTGGACCCCAATGGTGGCTTTGTAAAAAGCAGGTTCTTTGTTTGTGGCACCTGCCGCAAGCACTCAAAAAGTGAAATAGCCGGAAGCAAGGTTATGGTTCGAATTGGAGAGTACATGCAGACAGTCCACATAAAACCAAGGTGCGAGCACTTTCCTAACCTTACAATTGCCCACCACCCCAGAAGAATCTGTTTCATCTACACTCCCACTAAAAGCTGACAATGAGACCAGCAACTCAACTGCCATCTTATAAATCGATCTGTGTTTCGGTTTAAATTTCTTCAGCACAACAGCAAGCAGTATCTTATGCAATTTGTTTCATCAACCCGTTCGCATACTGCAGCGCAGGGTCTGCAGTGTCTTATGCACTTCGTTTCATCAACCCGTCCGCAAACTGCAGCGCAGAGTCTGCAGTATCTTATGCAGTTTCTTTCATTAATCCATTCGCAAACTGCAGAGCATGGTCTGCAGTCTCTTATGCAGTTTATCTCAATAACCCATCCGCAAACTGCAGCGGAGGGTCTGCATCTACCTTCGCTCCGGCCAGCTCTACGATGAGATTCTGCTTCCGGAACCGGATGGCAAGATCAGCTCCTCAGAGGCGGACCTCTCGTGCTGCATAACACTGGCATGGGATGCACCGGGGGACACACTGGCGATTTTGCAGAGAGGAGGGTAAGCTTTTACACGCTTTTTGGTAAGGTATACTCTTGCATGTCCAGATGAGTCCACTTGCCCTTCACACTGTGCTACAAGGAGCTGCATGCTCGACATCCTGCAAAGAAGGTCTATTCAACGAGTGCGGTTGCACATGCGTCTGCTGGCCATAAGAATCGCGCTAGCAATCCTGCGGAGAAATGGGGATGCGCTCTTGCGGGTCCAAGACGCCTGAGAGAATTAGACAAAGACCAAGTTGAACCCACGAAAGCTGGTGGTTTGCACACTCCCTGACTGCCCGCAAAGCTCAAGGGGCTAATGACAGTCTCAAGATACTTTGCACGACACGTATTCAGGCCTGCATATGCGGTAAGAACGAAGGTATGGACCCGGCTTGAGAAGGCGGCATCCTCGATTCTACAGTATCATTGTTGAAGTCAGCTAAGAAGATGCGCCTTCGTTGGAACTCCGCTATTCCCGTCAGGCAATAGTCGATCTGCTGTATGCGCCAGCGACGGAAGGAGCGGACCACGGTGGAGAACGGAACGAAGAGCCGGCTTCTCTTCCGAAATTCGTCAAATTCAGCTCAAAAACACGGCGTGCCCTTCAAACGGGTCAGTCGGAAGCCACCACTTCTGATGATTCTGTACCGCAGGTACTCAATCCTGCTGTATGCGCCGGCGACGAAGGAACGCACCAAAGTGGAGACCGGGATGAAAGAGCTGACGTTCCTCAGTTGGGCCAAGAGCGGGCCGGTCCTGGCGGTGGGTACCGCCAAGGGCAATCTGCTGCTCTACAACCAGGCGCTGGGGAAGAGGGTGAGCGTTTGTGGCCGCTCGAGTTCTTCGGCAGAAGCTTTTCGAGTGCGAAACCGTTTTCAAAGCATCCAAAGTTTAGGTCTGTTTACATGGATGTGTCCTTTCGAATGTTGCGGAAGCTTCTGCTGCTGGTCGAGACGAGCAAATCGGCGAGTCTTCGGCTCTCAAAGTTACGATGTGGCTCGCAGAGCTGACCGCTTGATCTTGGTCAATTGAAGGGGTTGAACAGCGTCTCACACGTTAATTAGACGGGCTTGGCGTAGCTCCTTCAGCTAAGCGTTTGCGCTATGCTCCACTCGTTTGCACAATGTACCGACGAGATTGCATGAGAGACGTGAATTGTCAAATCATAGAGATGTGAAAATAGGCAAGCGAGCTTGCGTTAGTCTTTACTTTTTCGGCGGTCTGCAGATCCCCATCATGGGCAAGCACACAAAGCGCATCACGTGCGGCGCGTGGAGCGCGGGCAACCGGCTGGCCCTCGGTTCGGACGACCGGCGAGTGTCCGTCAGCACGGACGCCGGGGACACCATCAAAGAGGTGATCGCTTGTTGAATTATTCCGTCTGTTTCTGCAAGAGCATCTGCATCTGATTAAGGGTTTCTGACGCAGCCCCTTTTGCGTTCGTCGCTAGCTGTAAGGTGGGCACCGGGTGACACTTTCATTCGACATCGCCCTCCAAGTCGTTGTCCGAGAGTTCCATCTTTGTGAGCTGGAAAGCACTTCAGACCGAAGCACCGTTTTTCGCATCGAAATCAGGAGACTCGTGCTGACGTAAAAACTTAATATTTTTTGACGCACCTTACGTAACTCGCCCTACAGCTGTCAATGAAGTCGGAGCCTGTGGAGGTGACGTTTGCGGACATGAAAGACGACAGCGGAGCAAGCGGGCCCAAAATGGTAAGACTACTCTTTTTGAGTTGATCCTTGACGCCAGTCTAGTACTTCTGGACAGCGATCGCTGTCGAGCATTCGCAAATTACTTACGTTTGAGGTCGATAATGTTGTCACCGTTTCCCATCTTGATTCCGTTGTCGAAATTCCGACCGCCCATGTCACATTCGCTACGTTCCGTTTGACTGCTTTCTTTCGGCTCAAAATCTTTCCGCTCTGTTTTAATTCTGCAGGAAAATACGGTGTGCGTCAACGTGGGCCGCAAAACCCTGTACCTCTACCGCCTGAGTGATAAGGAGGGCGACAAGCCGACCACACCTTTAGAACTCGCCTTTCAGGACGTGTACGGGCAGGTGAGGGGTGAACCCTGCTCTAAAATCTTCTCTAAGTCGTAGCAGGCCTTTAGCTAGCCTGGTCAAACTCTCGGGAGGAGAACATGGATCCTACTGTCTTCTTTGGGCTGAGAAGCCGGAAAAATACGGTTGATATTGTCGTTCAACCAGGTTGGAACGGGAGACGGAAACAGTATACTTCTAGTGGGGTACGCAAAAGGTATCAACACAACTGACGTTCTTATCCAATTGGTCCTATCTTGATGACGTTTGCTGTTACGGTGAACCACTTTCACACATCAGCCGCCGTGACTCGCCCCTTATATATTTCCATCAACCTTGAAATATGCAACTACGTTGTTGGCATTGGCACTTTAGAAAGTGACCCAAAATCCATGATCAACGAAGTGCAGAGATGGTTCAAACCTGCTATGCAACCGAAGATTGCAGAAACAATTCTGCTTTGCATCTGAGGATTGGAATAAAAGGAAATATGATTTATCTATTGTTTTATTGGTTCGCAGATCCTGTGCCACCGCTGGTTCGGGGACGGGTACGTGCTGCTCGGTTTCAGCACGGGCCACATCGTGATCGTGTCAACGCACACCAAGGAACTCAGCGAGGAGGTGCACTCAGCCAAGATTCTCAAGGTGAACCTCATCTCGTCTTCTGCCGACGCGCAAGTCGTGGTCTCCTTTCTCAAAAGCGTTTTGCTGATGGAAGTCAGCGTTCGCTGGAACGTTCGCTGGAGCGGGTCGCATAAAGGAAATCGTTCCGCTGTGTTGATGCCTGGTAGTGCGTATCCAGCGGAAGCGCGGACGCGGAAGCCTGGCAACGTGGCACAGCAACAAGCGACGCAAATCTCACCTCGATACACGTTACATCAAAGTGCTGTTTACGCGCATTATGGTCGGCGGAGTTTGTCAGAACGTGAAGTATTCTGTGTAGAATAAGTAGTCATGTCTTAAGGATATCTCTATCCGTCAAAAAGGTTGCGCTCTGCGAGGAAGCACTGTGCCTGTCCTTGCGCCTCGCTTTTTGTCAATCTCCACAAAAGATACGGCGTCAGGCAGACTGGTGCTTTCACCTGAGGAAAAGACACATTCTTGAAGCCGCACAGAGACTCAAGACAGCGACGGAAACAGAGTCGCTTCTTAAAACTGCAGGACGGGGTATCAGACGTGGCTTACTGCGCGGCGCTAGACCGCGTGGCAACCTGCGGAGGCAACACGGTGAAGTTTGTGGACCTGAGAGGGTTGGAGTTCAAGGTGAGCTTGCGCGCACTCCGGAACTCAGTGCCCGCTTGCCACAAAGTATAGCTACGGACTGCGAATAAGCAAGAGTGATCCTAAACTGGGTTACGACAGTATCTAACCAGAGGGAACCCAAAGTTATGCACTTCTGACATTCCCTCCAAGAAGCGCAAGTGCTCTTTACCTGTATCCCGTTTTCGAAACCGAGCACAAAACAGAGCACAACAGGCACCATTTGCAGTTGTGAAAGCATCTCGAACCCGAGAAAGGAAGGGAAACGCTCCTTACCGGAGATGTCCACCTTCATTTGCAGGAGATCAAGTCCGTACCAGCTGACGCTCGACGCGGGCGCCAACTGTTGTTGCTCTCTTAAAACAGATCACATCAGAAACCGTTTGTTTTTGCGAATCGAGCACAACACAATTGCAAAAGCATCTCATATTTCACCGACTAAGAGAAACGGTCCTGACCGTTGAATTTCCCACCTTCGTTTGCAGGAGATTAAGTCCGACCAGCTGACGCTCGACGCGGGCGCAAAGTGCGCGCGCGTGCAGTGGACGCGCGACGGCCAGGTCTTGACGGTCGCCACAAAAGACGGGGAGCTGCACGGGTTTCTGGCGACCCTGCCAGCCGTGTGCGCGAGCTGGGACGCGCGCGTCGCGCACCTGACGTCACTGCAGGAGCTCTCCGTCGAGGACACACTGGGCCAGGTGAGGGGTGACGCGATGCTGACGTTACTTCAATCCAAAATTGAAATGTAATCGGCGAGCAAAGTACCCTGGCCTTTGAGAGTGGGGAAAAGAACGTCGAGACGGCAGAAAGGTAAGGGGCCGGCTCGCTTTTGGTGATTGAAGCCGCAGGGTTTCTTTTTTTTGCAAGGAGACCGGGCCTTTTCTCCCCACTTTGAGTAAGAGATTCTGAAAGACGTTCGTGAAGTCAGAAACTCACTTCTGTCCGCGTGCTTAACCTCGCCGTTCCCGCCACGGTCGTAAAGACACCCCGAAGCATGCGCGTCTCGTATTGCTGCAAGATCAGAATGCTCGCGATTAATACAGATTGCGCATCCTCCATTCGCTCACACGAATTCAATCGAACGAATTGAATTGCGCAAACCCGGAAACTCCTCGCAGGGCATCGCGCTGCGCGTCGAGCTGTTCGCGGAGCCGGCCGCGTGCGCGCTCGGCCCGCTGCACTGCGCGGCCGCGGCCGCGAACCAGGCCTGGTTTTACCACCTACCGGGCGACGGGTTGGCGTCGCCCAGCATGCTGGAAAGTCACAAAGAGTACTCGGGGGACGTCCAGGAGGTGCGCTTCATTCTTTTTCTACGTTATTTCTACGAATTTTGGAAAATGTTCTAGAAATACCACGCTGATCAGGGTCTCGAAATGTTCAGGAGGTGCGCTTACCAAGCCTCTTGAAATGTCGAACATTACCTTTCCTTGTCGTCGTTGGACTGCAGTCCTGGTCCGTCGAAGCTTTTGCGGCTAGTGGGAGGAGACGGTGAAAGATTCCCAAACACTGCCCTGCGTTGATTATACTTACTGTGATCTGTTCCGTCCCTTGGATGAGCGACTCCTCGACTTTGACCTGACCTCGAACACGATGAAAGCATCTGGGTGTGGCATCTTGATTGATTGGCGTTTCAGGAATAAAAGGTGCCTCTAACAGAAGTTGAACTCTTTGCGTCCCGTTCTTGCGTATTTTGAGCGCCTACACTTCTAGTGATCCTCGTTGATCGGGCGGTCGTGGTCAGCTCTACGGCCGTCACACATTTGGTCGCTCTGCTTGTGTCGTTTAGTCAAGCTTCGACCGTTGTTCGGCCTTCGAAACGGTTCACTCCTGATAGAACCTGAGAGGCAATGTTCAGGCCTCTTTCCAATGCGTATAAGCACGTATATCATCCAGGTCGAAGTCTTCAGATAGACTCAAGGTAGTTTCGAAACTCTCGCAAACATAGGCCCCTGAAAGCTTTTCTCGAGGGAGTCTCTGCTAAGTCCGAAAGCCTTCACCAAACGTTTGTGTTTTCCTCCGTTCCAGATCCGGCTCAATAGTCGGTTCGCGGCAGTTCTCGTGAACGGCCGCATTGAGTTGCACACGCTGAGCAGCCCCGGGGAAACGCCAACCGACCCGGAAGAGGCTCCTCCGCCGCACTTCACCCTCCCGGAAGGCGACCAAGTGGGCACAGACACAATAACCACTGTCGCCCTCACAGAGGCGTCTCTCATCTGCGCAACCTCGGGGGGGGAAGTACTATACTACTTTCTCGACCCCCATACCGGGCCGGCATTGATAAACGAATGCAAGCACCCGGGGGGGAAAATCCACAGGCTCTCCTCCAACCCGCTCGGGACACGTGTCGCGCTGCTGGATGGCCACGGGGCCGTCGTTCTGTACAACCCGGTCACGGACGAAGCGCTCCCGGTACCAACCGGACAGAACGTTGAAGCGGTTCTTTGGGATTTGTGCGACCCCGGGGTGTTCTTCGTCGTCGAACCGGGCCAGATTGTCTGCCACGTGTACTCCCCGGTAACGGTCTCTAGTCCAACGATAACGGTAGTCGGCGCGACGCCGCGGCCGCTCGGTCACTGCCCGATTACCGTCTACCACGGGGTGGTCACGTGCCTGGTGCAGGGCGGGGGTTTGGAGGGGTTTACGCTAACGAGCCACACCCGGTTACAGGGAACGGAAGCCCGGTTTGCGGAAGCCGGGGCGGAGCGTTTCGAACAGAATCTCGCGCTTTTGAGGCTCAAGCCGGCGTTCATGGAGGCGCTCCTGCTCAAGAAACAAGACGTAAGCCGTTTCAAATCCTGCTGAACCTTCGGCAAATCGTGGTCGGGCAAAACTTTCCGCAAGTCAGTTTTTAGGTTTTGGAGCTTGTGCGAGGGTAGATCACGCAGGCTGATCGTAAAGGCTGGTACTTCTACGTTCAAAGTGTACCTGCAATTTATAGCTTCACAAACAAACGTGGAACGAACTCAGGGATCGCTGTCGGCCTTTCGAATTGGTTGATCGGTAATCATGGCTCCAGAATACGACGGATGAGACGGTTCTAGAAATGGCCAATCTTCGCAGTCGTCTTTCGGACCATCGCTCACTACCGCGGTAATTGACGAAGTCAGCACTTACTATCACTCCCTGACATTTCAGGCATTCTGAGGCATCTTCTGATTGTCGTGGTCACGCCATCCCTCGGCTACATATGCGGATCGCCCTAGACGGCCATCCCTCACACCAAACCTAAAACGGCAACGAACGCGGTCTCTTGAAGAAACATTACTAGCTTGTCTTTGCTTAGAACCTCAAACCCTCCCGCTCTTTCACAGGCGTGGGAGCGGCTCGCGCGCGCCGCCCTGCGCGAGCTCGACGTCGACCTGGCCGCGCGCGCGTTCCGCCAGCTGGGCGACGCGGGGATGGTCCAGAGCCTGCTCGGAATCGCCCACGTGGAGGAAATTCATTTGCTGGCGGGGCACGTGCTGCTTTTGCTGGGCGAAGACTACGACGCGGCGCAGGAGCGCTTTCTGCAGTCCTCGCGCCCGATCGCGGCGCTGGAGATGCGGAAGGACCTGCGGCAGTGGGACCAGGTGAGGGGGGGCTTTCCGTGAGTTGATATCCCCCCCCCTTTTCTTTTGTCATCTCTGATTCGGCGCTTGAGATGGCGAAATAATCTGGCAGTGGGACCTAGGTGAGGAGGGATCCTTTTGTGGGCTGTTTCAGCCCCCGTTTCAAATCTGATGGTGAAGACGCATCGATATTTATGTTTGCTAAGTACGCTGACTTCGTCGGTCTGCAATCCCTTCTGCCCCGGTGTAAGAATTTTGCTTTTCTTGGACAAGGCACCAGTGAGAGCCAGTCTCAGCTGGTCGTGCGCTCGATTCTGTCAGAGGAATGGCAAAAGCTTTGACGGCGGCTGCAAAACCGTATTTCCAAGCCGCAGCGCTTTTTTTTACTATCTGCAATTCCTCTCTCGATTTTGAGTCGCCATTCTCCCAGGCGCAAGCATGGACCTTCTCTTTGAGGACGACGATCTAGATTCCGGCACCTAAATTGGCCTAAGTCTGGTTCCACGCATTCGAGTTTTGCTCAAATTGGTAAAGCGACGCAACTTGCATCTCTGGCAGGCCCTCAAATTGGCCCGCCAGCTGGACCCCTCGTCCGTCGGCGACATCAGCCGCGAATACGCGCAGCTCCTCGAAATGAGGGGGGAGTTCCAGCCCGCCCTGGACTACTACAACCAGGCCCTCGCTTCGGCCACAAACGACGACGAGAAGCGCGCGAGCGCGCGCGCGGGAGTCGCGCGCGTCACCATCCAGCTAGGAGACGTCAGGCGCGGCCGCCAGCTGGCCCTCGAGTGCGCGAGCGCGCAGCTGTGCCGCGAGTGCGCGGCGATCCTGGAGGGGATGAATCACATGCAGGTGCGCAGCCGCAATGCGCGGTTTCCAAACCTTCGCTAAACCTTCTCAGCGGCGCTTGGAATGAGGCGCGCCTTGGAATCGTCTCGTATCGACTTCGCTCTCTCGTGATTTGAGACCTTTAGACCTGTCCTCAAAGAAGGGCTCCTTTAGAAATTCCATAGTATAGCTGGAGCTTGTGTAAAAGGTTGTCAAGGACCGCTGATTACCCCGTAAGAGCGAGGCCTTTTATCTATGCGCGCTTTTACTGCTTGACTTCGAAGGACGTCAAGGAAGTCATTGTCTTGCCGCTTATGAATGTGTTCCGGGGCAAATCCGTTCGTGTTTGGTATTTCAAGCAAGACTGGAGGTTTCGCTGAAGGAAGTTTTCAACTTGAGCGAAGATCTAATCCCTTATTCGTAATTTTCACTATCCGGTTGCAGGACGCTGCTGAGCTGTACGAGCGCGGCGGCCAAGAGGAGAAGGCCGCGAGCATCTACATCGCGACGCGGAACTTCGCGGCCGCGCAGCCGCTGCTCGCGCGCATCTCCGCGCCCAAGCTGCACCTACAGGTAGGCGCAGACAAGCTCTGCATCTTGGCGGTATTCGGGGGTCGCAACCAGGGTTTTGCTGAAACCTCGGCCTTGGCTTGTGTTAAAGGCTGATTTAATGACCCAGCTATACGGCGTCTCCAGTCTTCGGTCGAAGCGAACCCCTATCCGATTAATTCTTACACGTTGATTGTTGCGCCGATCTGTTGCCATGGTTGCCATATGGAGCACCACTTACTTCACAGTATCCCGTTTATACCTCATCCAAATCTCGAGAGCTTACTCTGAAGCAAACTCAAAGGAGGCTTTGTCCCTCCATCGATGGACATTCTTCGCCCCGTCGATAGCCTTCATCGATAATTGGTACGCATACTATCCAAACCCTCCCGGCCAGAAACACCTCAACGCTTGTAATATAGATGATTGTTTAGCTAAATATTCCCCCACTTCCATGCAGTATGCCAAAGCAAAGGAAGCCGATGGCAAGTTCGACGCGGCCGCGGCCGCGTACGAGGCCGCGGGCGAGATGGACCACATGGTGCGCCTGCTCCTGGGGCCGCTCCAAAACCCCCAGAAAGGGTTCGCGATCGCGCGGGGGACGCGATCGGCCGACGCGGCCGCGATGGCGGCGAAGCACTGCCTGATGAGCGGGAACTATGCGGAGGCCGTGGAGTTTCTCGTGCTGTCAAAGCGGTGAGGGCTTGAATGCAGGAAATCTTCGGTCTTAGATATATTGCGGTCGATCGTGTGCACACAAGTCCATGCAGGGCAGAGCGACGTACCGCAAAACTAGGAGCGAAGGCAAGTGTATCGCGCCTAGAAGAGGGTTGTCACTTCGTACGTAGACTTTCCGTTCCATAGGTCATGGCCTCAGTGAGTTCTGCCTTGTACGGGTCCTCTTACTTTTCAGGAAACCATTCTGTTCTTTGAGTATGAAGCGGCGGGTTCCTTGGCGCGTTGTAGTTATCTACATACGATAACACGTCTGGCTGACCTGTTAAGCAGCCTCCAAAATGGCGATACGACAAAGCTCGGAAGTCTGTCAATCTGGCTTTGGAACGGTACCTTAGAATGCGTCTCTTCGTGTGCTTAAGCATCCAACAGCTCATCTTCTAAGATCCTCGAATTTTTGCGCGGTTGAGCCTTCCACACCCCTTCTTCTGGAATCCCGAAACCCTTCTCGCCCGCGCAGGCCCGAGGAGGCGTTCGAGCTCATGCAGACTCAAGGAGATTGGAAACTCTACTTTCAGAAATTCTGTCTTTCGCGCGCGCGCGCAGGCCCGAGGAGGCGTTCGAGCTCGCGCAAATTCGAGACGAACAAGAATCTCGCACCTCTGCTTCTAGAAAGTTTTCAACGTTCCGCGCGCGCGCAGGCCCGAGGAGGCGTTCGAGCTCGCGCAGACGCACGACACGATGGACGCGTACGCAGCGCTCGTGGCCGACGGCGCGGCGCCCGACGGAACCCTGCGCCTCGCCAAGTACTACGAGAGCCGAACGGCCTTTGGCAAAGCGGCGCGCTTTTACGACAAGTGTGGGCAGGCGAAGCAGGCGCTGAGGCTGTATCTGCGGAGCGGGGCTGAGGGCGACATCGAACAGGTGACGTCCGCGCTTTGAAGTGTCCCCGGTACTTGGAGCGAGGCGTCAAAGTTAGTGTTTTGTCTGACCGCTCTGCAAAAGTAGGAAGAGTGCAGTGATTCGATACATACAACAAGAAGGCGCAAACACAGGAGGAAAGCATTCGGCGCCTCAACTGGCAGATAACAAACTCGACGCGTCAAGCTCGACGTTTTGCCATAAATGTCACAATTCGATCGCGGAACACGAGTTGAACGGCTCGACTAGGTGTTTTCATGCAGTATGCATTATACCCGTATCACTTTGAAACGCATAACTGTCTTCATGAACCGTCTTTAAGCATCCAGGGTTTGAAAATCGAGTGGCGACCATTTCGCAGGCGATCGAGATGGTTGGTCGCCGCAAGGACGACGAGCTGACGGGGCAGCTGGTTGACTACTTGGTGGAAGGCGCCGAGCAGACGCTGAAGAACCACAACCTGCTTTTCAAGCTGCACCTGGAGCTCGGGGACTTCGTCCAGGCGGCCAAAATGGCCGTGCTCATAGCGCGGCAGGAGCAGGTGCGTTTGAATGCCATAACCGGGGGCGCCGTTTTGCAGAAACATAAAAGTTTTTCGGAAGGTTGTGGGTTATGGGTTTGACACGCCGAAAAAAAGTTAGGAAGAGGTCGCCTGACGCAAAGGGAGATATACCAAAAGAAGCTATTCAGATCGAAGTAACGTGATTCAAGAAAGAAGGCCCGTGCTTCCGTATTTGGATGAGAGGACCATGCAAACAGGTTTCGGTTCCGTGCTTCTATGATTGCTTGCGTAGCTTCCGGGCCTTTCTCTTCAGGAAAGTCCGGGCCTTTCAGGAGAAGACAACTATGTTTACCCCCTCAAAACACTCTTGTCTTCTCCATCTGTTAATCAACGCGCCATTAAACAGTGTCCTCTTGAAGTTAATTACCGCCCACGGCCTCCGGATTCTAAAACGAATATAAGATGCTCATTTTCGGCGACCACTTGCAGGAGGCCGGCAACTACAAGGTCGCCCACACGCAGCTGCTGCAGACTTTCTTAGAGCTGCAGAGTCACGGCCGGCGGCCCCCTTCGGAGCTCAGCCGCCAATTGATGCTGCTGCACTCGTACGTGCTGGTCAAGACGCTGGTGAAACTGGGCGACCACGAGTGAGTGATTTGGCCTTATTTGTCGCCTAATAAGTTAGAAGAAGTCGCCAATTGGTGTTTCTGCACTCGTACGTGCTCTTGAAGACGCAGGTCAAACCGGGCGACCACGAGTGAGTAATCTGGCTTTCTTGGTCGCCTCATGATGTAGAAGCAGCCGCCAATTGATGTTGCCTCACTCGTACGTGCTTGTAAACACGCTCTTCAAGTTGGGCGACCAAATGCGAGTGTTGTGGCTGCTTTCTGTAGCCCTTTCCCTCTTCAAAAGCCGTCGTCAGACTTGCCGCTGCACACTGGGCGATGACGGCTGAGCAATCTGACTCTCTTTTTGCTTGACTCTATAAGTGTATCGCCAACTCGTACGCGCTCGTTAAGACGCTGGTCAAGTAGGGCGACCACGAGTGAGTGACTCGGATGTCTTTGTCGCCTTCTTCCTTTTATACTGAGAAGCAGCCGTAAGCTTTGTCTCCAGCCGCCAGCCTTGCCGCCATTATCAACCCCTTATCTCACTGGCGCGCATGCGACATCCGAGTAATTCACGCCAACCTGGCCTTAGTACGATTCCCGCCCCTCTCCCTCAAGGACCCCCCCTTAGTTCCCCGCATATCTCCAACCCCCAGGTCCGCCGCGCGCATGCTGATCCGCGTGTCCCGCGACAATCTTGTCCAGAAACAGGTTACCACTCGTTTTTGCCAAGGACCCTCCCTGGATTCCCCGCCATTCTCGACCCCCCAGGCCCGCTACGCGCATGCACAATCACATCTGGCATGCCAATATTACTTGGATGTACAATCCACTCGAATACTTCCACTTATCTCCCCGACATCCACCCCCCCAGGTCCACTGCGTGGATGCTGACCCGCGTGTCGCGCAATGTCTCTGATGAATGCAGATCTCGCTTCTTGGTCAAGGACCCCTCCTCAAAATCCCCGCCATTCTCACCCCCCCAGGTCCGCCGTGCGCATGCTGATCGGCGTGTTGCGCAACACCTCAAATGTCACATAGTCAACTTCAATACCTTAGTCTCGAGGACCCCCCCTAAACCGTACCCCGACCCCTACCACT